ACAATGTGATTTGGGTGAAAGTTTACAGAACAAATTCACCTGCCATACAGCAGCTCACACACACTTTGTCTCATGGCATTGACTACAATTCCCCACAATGCAACAGCTCCCCTCCTACTTCCTCCCCAGAGTTACCTCTTCCCTGTGTCCTTCCCTCCCATGCACTCTTGCCCCACGAGCTGTCACCCTGTGCATACACAGCCCTTCCACTCTCCTATGACTGATGTCTCCAAGGAGTGCATCTACCTAATATAAATGTGCAGTACATACGCCTGCCTGTCTTTCATTTGGTTGGAAGCCACAGGAGTGGGTTCAATTATAGACCTGAAGGGCAGCTAGGGGCCATAGTCTCAGTGGTTCCATCAGGCTCTATCAGACCAGCAAACCTGGTCCTTCTCTTTAAAATGATTTTGAGTTTTGTTCAACATTGTTCTCCCGCTCTATCTAGGATCTCCCACAGAGATCCCCCTCTAAGTGGTTGACAGGTGTAGCCAGTCACCATCTAGTTCTTCTGGTCTCAGTCATATAGGCTGAGGATAGCATGGTGCACCAGTCACTTGGACTAATTGTTTCTATGTGTCTTTGGTTTTCTTCATTCTTCTTTGCTCTGGATGAGGAGAGACCCATCATTGAATCTAGATGGCCGCTTATAAGCTTTTAAGATCCTAGTCGCTGCTCACCAAAGTAGGATGTTTTGGGTAGTATATTATGCCAATTGAACTTGATGTCCCCTGTGACTACAGTCCTGAGCCCACAGGTCAACTACTTGCTCCCTCAGGGTAGCTAGCTGTCTGTGGCCAAGAAGTGACTACAACCTTGCCCCTTGTCAGCTCTACCATATACCTGGGAATTCCTAAAGAACATACAAATGCACTTATAGAAACATTTTCTGCCAACCCTATACATGGTCTTGGGCACACTTCCCCCTGCACAGACATATCTAATAGTTCTGCCTGTCCACCCATTTATCCACCTCCAATCTAGATCTCAGTGGCAGATTTTATGTGTGTGTCAAGATACTAAACTTAAAAACTTAGAACACGCTTTCTATATGTTCTCTTCTATGGAAGGAGGCCCATTTAAATGAATTCCTAGTTCAGGGCAGACTCTTCTAAATCACATAAAATTCAGGAAGGAAAAAATCAATTAAAACACTACAGATCTGGGCAACTCCTAAGCCACCATCCATGGATTTTCATTCTGTTCCTGGAAAGCGTTCAAGAATTTCCAGATCAAGTACAGAGATTTCCTAATGAACAAAAGTCATTCTGAAAGCAAACTTGCAAAGTACTGGCAGGAATTCCTTTTTTTTTTTTTTTTTTTCTTAAAGAAAATCTTAGGTTGTTCAGTAAACTCACAAATTTCTTTTACCTAGAATGGAACTGAAATCACGCGTCTGACCTTTCTAATGAACAAGAACTCTCAAGTCTCACGCTCCTGCCTGCAAGAGGTAAGCAGAAAAGGGAGAGAAAGAGCAGAGAGGCTGACTTTCACAGCTTTCGGTTAGCCTTGAAGGCCTGGGCTTCCAATGGCTTCCGTGACAAGATCCAGGAAGCTTTGTGGGGAAGGCTTGTCAGGGAGGGAACACACACAGAAGGGGCAGGGAGTAAAGGAAGCCTCTAGTACAATTATTTACAGCACAAGGGTGAGAAGCTCATTGCCAACGCTGTTTGCTCAGTTTTCCTTTCTCTGAAACAGTGGTTATAATCATGGACCTTGCCGGTAACCTGATGAAAGCTGTCGATTCTCTCCTTGGAGGGTAAGCAAATGTTCTTATCATTTCCATAAAAGTTTAAGGAATTTGTCAATGTACTTAAGAAACCCACTTTAAAATGTCTGCTTATCAGCACTGAGGGCAGCAAACTGGAGCCATCATCACTTCTTCCTGACCTCTCAAGTGTTAACCAGACCAATGCCTTTTTCCTGCCTGCCTCACTGTTCAATGGTTACAAGAGAAAAACCACCAGCCTGGAAGGCAAGCTCCCACACACCCACTCACACGAGAACACAAGAGCACTACTTAGTCATGGAAAGAAACCTTACCCCATGATCCTAACTAACATGCAAACCCCTAAGTGAGTAGACAGTTTGTTCCGGAGGCATGCAGCACCATGGCACCCTGGATAAGAACTCCGTTCCCTCCCTGCCTCTGCCTTAGTTGTTGTTGTTGTTATGTGCCGTCAAGTTGGACCCAACTCATAGCGACCCCTCCTTGGGTTTCCGAGACAGTATCACTACAGAAGTAGATTGCCTCATCTTCCTTCTGAGGAGTGGTTGGTGGGTTTGAACCGCCAGCCTTCTGGTTACCAGTCAAGTGCCTTAGCCACTATGCTACCAGAGCTCCCAATGTCCTTAGTTAGCTACATGGTTTTACATCCTCAGTTAGTTCCTCTCCCTGGCAGCAGGAAGGCGTTAGATTGGATCTCTTAGGTTCCTTCAAACTCTAAAAATCGATGATCAGGAATGATGTTTTGTGAAAATTTTCATTATCACAAGGAAAAACCTACAAAATGATTTGACATTACTCTTCGTATTATTCAAATAAAAATGCCTGTATTGTCGCCTCTATTTTGGTCTTCATTCACAGTATGAATAAAAAATGTTTCTTTGTATTAAGTAACTTTACTCTTGAATACCAACAGCTACAATTACTTACAAACAGAATTTGGACATGTTTTGAAAGTCACTACATTTACTCTGTGGTAACTTAGAGAGCAACAACTGCTTGAAAATATTATATTTGTTTGCCTTAGCACACAGTATGTGTTAAGGGACAGGGTGACAGGACATCAAGTAGACTGAGAAAAGTTTGTGCTTTTTTTTAAATGCATAGCTACTTTCTGAGACTTTTTCCCTCAGATCAACATTTATAACAAAGGAAAGGGATTTTACTCTTGACCAGAAAAACACAAAGATTCAACACCTCAATAGTTCAATTCAATTTATTGCGAGCCACTTCTATGCCAACTACATAGAAAACCTCTCAATGAGGATGGAAAGAATTGGAAAGGGGGTGGGAGTTACATAGAAAAAATAGTGATAAAGTACAAAGTAGAGAAGAAGAACACAAAAGTGATCAACCTTATCCAGAAAAAAGAAGGCTTCCCTGATGAGGAGCAAGTGAGCAGAATCTGGAAGGACGAATGATGACTGAGATCACCCAGAAGATAAAAGCGGAGTGGGACAAGCAACCCTATCCTAGGCAGAAGACAAAACAATGCCATGGTCGCACAGAGTCAACTTTCTTTGAAAAGAGCAGATCCTCCAAGACTGAATCTTTAAATGCTGGTTTCAATAACTATGACACTTGGCAAGTTACTCAGCCTCTGTAAACCTCATCGTCCTCATCTATAAAGTAGGCAGGGAGCTCTGGTGGCCCCACAAGACTTCGTAGGCTGTCAGTCTTCACAGGAGCAGACTGCCACATCTTTCTCCCATGGAGTGACTGGTGAGTTTAAACTGCACACTGTTTGGTTGGCAGCCAACCGTTTAATTTTTTTGCCACCAGGACTCCATTTCTGGCACTAAAGGAAACTAAATAAGAACCATGTGCACCTATTCCACTTACCTACAAATTCGACTTGAAGACACACTTAGGAACAGATCTCATTTGTAACTCTGGGACTGACTGCAATTTAAAACCTTATAGGTAGAGAGAAAGAGAGTAAAACTGCTCAACTGACTCAGGAAACCCAGCAGCTGAATAATTTTAATGACGGTTTAACAGATTTAATCAAGTGGCAACTGAATTTAATGCTGTCTGTTCCTTCCAATTAAAATCCACACACAATGGGCAAAAGTAAAACGTCTGGCATAAGCACTTTTTAAATGTAATTTTGTCACTTTCTCTGTTTCTACATGTGACTAATAAAGGCTGTCAGTAAACGTTAGGTCTCCCTTCCCTTTCACAAAATCCTAAACTTGGGAACTAAACAGTATCACAAATAATCATATAGCCCAAACGCTTAACGAAAGTGACTGTGACCCACAGAAGGAAAGCGAAGGGACTTGTCCAAGGACACAAACTTATTCTGTCCATGACCTCATTTGATCCTCAAAACCATTCTGTTACTAGTATTGTATCTTCCCTATCTTTCTATTTTCTAAAAGAGGTTAGCAAAGTTAAGAGAAAGTAAGGGGGAAAATCCATATATGAAACCTCAATACTCAAACTCTAGCAGAAAGATAAAAACTATGAGAAAGAGTTAAATGGGAATGCTAAACTGACAAGAAATACATATACATTAAAACATGTAAAAAATGAAAAGATGAAGAATGCTTTTGACAGGTTCATCAATTGACACAACAAAGCCAAGAAAAGAACTGGTAAACTTAATAACAAATAAATAGGTATTACTCAAACTGAAACATAAAAGAAAATTAAAATTCCCAAGCATAGCATCCAAGAGTTGTAGAAAAAGAGCAAATGGTCTAACATATGTATAACTGGAGTCTCAGAAGAAAAAGAAAAACAGAGCATAGGAAATATTTAAATCAACCATGGGAGATTAGAAGGGGAGCATTTGCACAAGGAGAAAGCTCAGAGAGCAAGAATACACAGGAAAGGATAAAGTTAAAAGGTAAACAGAGGGAGGAAGTAGGAAGAGAGCTATTACACTATGGGGAACGCAATCAATGTCACAAAAAAAAATGTATATGAACTGTTGAATGGAAATGATTTTGCTCTGGAAACATTTACCCAGATCACAATAAAAATAAAATAAAATAAATAAATAATGCAGATTTTTTCAGACAAATGAAACCT